ATTGAGTCCACAAAAAGGAAAGATGTGTAAAAAAAGCCTTGAAAGGTAAGTTGGCCAAGATTTGGAAGGGTTTTAAGTGCCAAACAAACTTTTGTATTTTATTTGAGTGACAATAGGGAAGGAGACACTGGAATTTTTTGAGCAGGAAAAATATGATCATACTAAAGATGTTTGGTAGATATGAATTCTAAATAACAAACAGAATAGGGACAATATACTGAGGACATCTTATCTCTTTTAGGTTTTAACATATATTTTGTCTAAGGATAGGAGGAGTTTCTATAAAATAAACCAATGTGCCTACTTCTATGCAAAAGTGCTAAGAGGATTATCAGAGAAACATATGGTATAATTGTTGCCAGCAAAGCTATTTATGGAGACAGAACTTATATTAATCAAACATGCAAATAATAGGGGAGGAAAGTAGATTCTAAAATGAGGGCAAAACATAAGAGAGATAGTCAAAGTCAAAGAAGAAATAGATCAATTATATGTTAGAATGGCCAGAAGAAGGAGGATTTATGCAATGCTATGATATTATTATTCTGTTTCACATATGAGGAAACTGAGCCAGAAAGAGGTTAAGTGACTTGCCCAGGGTCACATTGCTAGTAAATGTCTGAGACTGAATTCAAATTCAGGTCTTGCTGACTTTAAGGCCAGTGTTCAGTCCACTGAGCCCCTAGATGAACTAGGAGACAGCTCTAGGACTAGAACTAGGAGACATTACTGAAAGCAATGAAGAAAATGATAGTCTACCTGTGTTTGGCCCCGACAAGAGTACATCAGAAATACTATGTTTAGTCCTAGGTATTGGGACTATGTTTTAAGAGGAACGCTGATGAGTTAGAGAGGAGTCAGCAATGAAGTAAATGCAGATTACATGGAGAATAGACAAGTTGCAGGAAGAGGTGATAACTTTTTCAGAAATGTGAAAAATTATCTCATGTAAGAGAGATTAGACTTTCCAATTATGTTTATTTTACTTTACCTTAAGAGAGATCAGGACTAAGGGAGAGAAGCCAGATATTAGCTCAATATAATGAACAGATCAGCAGCAGCAGTCACAGCAGCAGCAGCAGCAGCAGCAACAATGTCATTTATATAACACTTTGAGGTTTGCATAACATTTAGCTGTATCGCTTAATCCTCACAACAACCTTGTGACTTAGATGAAATTATTTACCTCATTTTACAGTTGTTAAAACTGAGGCAGAGAGTATAAGTGATTTGCCTGGGATCACATAGCTGGTAAGTGTCTGAGATGTAATTTAACTCTGGTCTTACTGAAACCAAGTTAACCTTTCCAGCCACGGACTTCAGGTGAAGATTACACTTATTAACATATTAAGTATTTTTGAACTCCAAAATGTTATGATTCTCCTCAACACTGCAGATGGAAGTGAACAGCCTGATAAAAAGGTGGAAAGATACAGGTGAATGATGGCAGATGGAGGGCCGGGTGAAGGATGACCTATTCTAGTATTGTTATAGAAAGAGGACCATTGTATAAAATGAAACGGTGCAACTGAAAAGCCTTAGGCCTAACAAGTACGTTTTCCACATTATATTGTTGTTTGGGGCCAGAAAGAGCCTTGCTCTGTGTATGTAATTAACTTTCCAGTTAACTATATTTGTAAAGCCTAACAGTGATTATTTTGATCTCTAAATCTGAAATGATGAGCCTGTAGACTGACTTTTTTTGTAGACTGAATTAGTGAATGTGATATTTGCAAATAGTTCAACTAAAATGATATGTTATATATCCTGACCACTCATTCCAAAGTTCATTTCATGGTACTAAAAAAATGGCACTTCAGAAAACCTGAGACATTTATTTTCCTTCTCAAAGATTCTTGGATTACAAGAAAAATCATGGACATTTTTGGAGTTCTTCATGTTATTTTGCCTTTGCATCCCCAGTGCCCGGCCCAGTTCTTTTCATTATGTATAATATGTGTTTACTAAACTTAATTGAAGAGGAATAATTCATGTCAAGCAAGGTGTTATGATGGAATATAGATAGACAGATGATTAGATAGATAGATATAGTATTAGATATAAACAGATAGATATAATATTAGATATGAACATATGCATATATCTTAGGGACATACACATGGAAATGCATTAATGTGATTGTTCTTTAGTTTTAAAATAATCATTTCCCCACCTTTCAAATATTAATCAGCTCATACTAGTAAGACTATATCTATCTATCTAGCTAGCTAGCTAGCTATCTAATTTTGAAACAGGTAAATATATAAATTATAAAAGCAGTCAATAATAGAGAGGTACACTTTCTCTTTGGAAAAAAAAAAAGATCTGAAATCCTTTTCAGTGCTATCTTGTGAGTTGTTCTTTGTGGCTGTAATGTAAAGGACAGACTAACACAGTTATTTACAGAGAGGCAGCTGTCCTGGGTACACTATTCTGATTCAGTCTTGGAAGAGGTAATTTCCACAAGGTTTGGCTCTTATGGGAAGGTCTGTCTCTATTCTCAACTCAGATTGACTTTCCCTTTACAAAGTAAAGCTTTTTAACCTTGCAGATCTCATCCCCTGAGCTAAAGATCAACCACTTCCAATAAAAGAGGATTCAGTAGAGTACTTCCCCATAGAGAACCAGGCAGCTTCAAGAGTAGCACTTCAAACAAGTAATTTACTTTTATAAACTGTATAAATAAAACAGAAATGGGAAGGAGAAGTTCACAGACTTACAGCATTTCTCTTTTTACAGCGCTCAGGATATTTTATTTTATTTTATGCAGGAGGTCTGCAAGCTGTTGCAGGTAGTTATCTATAGGAGGTCTACAAGCTGTTCAGGTATAATTCAGATAAGTCAAATGTTACTCCCCAGAAAAGGTATTATTTAAGGTGCCACAATAGGGTGCTACTTCACTACCAGAATTATTCGAAATTGGTGACTGTTAATTATTAGATGCACATCTAAAGATAAGAATATTGATTTTTTAAACTAATAACATTGCATAACAGTGAAGTAAAATAATTTGTGCTTTGTTCATCTGCTGTGGAATTTTGGGATAGAAATGTTCTTCATGATTAAACTCTTCATTGATATGCAGATGACAAATATGCTGAATAAAGATGTTATATCTATTTTGTGTACATCCTATATTCCTAGCAGTTAAGAAACTTTCTTATCTTTTTTTGTGTAGAAAAAATGATGAAAATGTTTGGTGTGTTTTTTTCTTCCTTCTACACCTAATTACTAAAAAAAAAAAAAGCATAGTAATCTTCCAAACAATGGAATCCTTGACTTCCATCAACTCTGAGCTCAAAATCACTTTCTGCAGAAGACCATACCTTGATCCCCTAGCTTATAGCTTTTAAACTATCTTCCATTTTTTTTCTATATACATCTTATATGTACCCATGTATTAACATATTGTCTCCCCCGTTAGCCAGTAAGCTCTTTGAGATCTGGGACTGTCTTTGCCCTTTTTTAAAATCCCCAGTTATTTTTGCAGTGCCTATCATAGCAAACATTTTGTAAATGCTTTAAATATTTATTGATCAATTGTTTAGTTTACTTCAAGGTGAGGGGAAAAAAAAAGATTAGTTTCTCAATAAGAGATGGATGAATGATTTTTGTTTATTTTAATTGAGAGAAAGAATGACACTCCAGATAGAGATCAGAACTTTGAATCCAAAAGATCTGAATTCAAGTTCTCTGAATTCAAGTTCTGCTGGTAGCATAGATTATTCATGTTGTTATAAGCAAATTAGTCACTCTTTTAGCATCCCAGAAAACTGTGTAAGGCTAGAAGTTACAGATAAGTTATAGATTTTTGTCAGTGGGAAGAGTTAAACTCTGGAAGCTTTCTATACCAATACATTGATATGTCTGTCCTCCACCATAAATCCTTCCATTTTTTTAAGTATCTCTCCTACAAATTATAATACTGAAACAAAACAAATATGTGTCAATTGTTAGGAATAATTCTATAAGCACAAAAGAAACTTCAATTCTAATCCTTCCCAGAACTATCGAAGCCCAAAGAGCCTGTGACTATGCACCCACATCAGGTGTTTCTAAAATTTTACACCTAAACAATTACGAAAATTAAATTTCATTTTCTACCATTTACTACCTGGTTGGAAATCCCTTTAAACTTGGCAGAGGAAATTATTGTGTCACTAACTTGGAAATTCAATGCATGAGGCTTTGTGATCATATCTTCTGTAAGAAGCCTTTCCCAACTCCTATTTCCATGCTTTCCTACTATGATTATTTTCCATTTATTTTGTATATGACTTGCTTTGAACATATGCTTGCTTGTCATTTTCCCCATTAGATTGTGAGCTTCTTGAAGGCAGCTACTGTCTTTTGCATTTTTTTCATATGCCTAGTATTTATCATAGTTCCTCTCACATAGCTGGTACTTAAGAAATGTTTTTTGACTTATTGATCCACTCAGCTGGGGTAGGTTACAGTTCTGTCCGGGCTTCTTTCACTGAAGGTACATTCATTTCATTTATAGTGACAAGAGCAGAAAATGCTATTTAAAAGCATATGTCCTCCTGAAATTTTCATATTTAAAAATAATGTCCTATCACTCATTAGTTTTCATGTATTCCATATGATCTTTTTACTCAAAATAAGTTAGGGAAAGAGACATAGTAGAATAATGCAATTATCTTTCCTTTGATGATATGGCATCTTTTGTTTGTTTCATTACTCAAATAATTTGATACTGATTTATAGAACAGCCTCACTCAGTTTTAAAGGGAAGGGAATATGCACTTAGTGTGGCCAGAATACCTACTCTATGCCAGGTAATGTGCTAAGTGATTTATAAATATGCCATTTGATCCTCACAATAACCCCAGGAAGTAGGCACTATTATCTCCATTTTATAACTGAGGTTGCTGAGACAGAGGTTAAGTGACTTTCCTATGGTCACACAGCTACACCAAGTTTGAACTCAGGTCTTTCTGATTCTAAACTATGTACTGTAGCCATTGAGCCACCTAGCTGCCTCAGGAAGATTAGGTCCCCCCAGGGAGTCTCTTGATCAGATTTTTCTTCTTTGCCTTCTGAAGCCTCTCATTTCACCCTGCTTCAATTTCTTTTATTTACTTTCCACATTACCTTTTATTTCTTCCATAAAGTAGTATTATGAGATCGTATCATGTTATGAAGGTGAGCCTGGGATCTTAAAGGCCTTGCCAGTAGTGACAAAGGTTGGCAGGTTATGTCAGGATGGAAAGAATTCAACTCAATCACTTTTCTGAGGAACGTCCAGAATAAATAGGGAGAGGCTTGTCATCAGTAGGTTGTCCAACTAATGATGAAGCTTTTGGTGATGGCAACCTTTGAATAAAAAAAAATAATAAAAAGATACAAAATGGTGCCCTGTGCAGGCCCACTACAATTCTCCAGTAATATTGGAGTAGTAAGTGATGAGAATGGGGCTGCGAAGAATCGCTGAAATTTAGATTGTGCATAAAGTTGACTCACACTTATGAAATATCAAGTCAGTACATTTAAGAGAACAAACTGTACATTCAAACATCTATTAGCTAATAATAATCATTCATATTTTTAACATTTTGAGGTTCAAAAATATTCCATAGACATTTCATTCAATCCTTGCAGCAAACCTGTGAGATAGATAACATTTTTACTCATTTTATAGATCAGCAAAGTGAAATTAGGAGAGGTTGTGACTCATCCAAAGTTTCACAACTAGTATTTGAATAGCTGGTGATTGATAGCTTCAGTCTGACTTTCTACCAATAATATAGTTCTGAATATCTGTTCACATTTAGAGCTGATTTTACCAAACTTCCTTGAGGATAGTTTTAGAATAGATCACTGTGACCTACCATATGATTAAATCTTTGTTGTAATTAAATAAGGCTTTAATTACCTCCTCAGACCCATTGACTGAAAACAACATTACACCTGTGCAGTTACTCTTTTTAACATGAAGAAAATCACTTAGTGCACTTTATCATTTCAGCCCATATCATAAAAATAGTATTGACACACCTATAATTTTATGATGAATGTAGATATAGAATATATTTTTATCATTCTTAATAAAATATTTCTTTTTTTTTACTTTGTTGAAAAAATGAAAAGATAGTTGCACTTTATACAAAAACCAATACCAGGTGTAAAACACAGGTATGATTCAGTACTTTCATCTTAATCTAACATCTAATTGGATATAGGGGTACCTTTTTTAAGCATTAGTTATAGCCTACAAATCTGTGGGCTGGATATCTTGTATTTCTTATTAGAAAAGCCTCATCCTAGAAAATGTTTTATTCAGCAATCATGTTTCCTCCTAGATTCTCATTTACATTGCAGGAAAGGATGTGAATTTACAATGTAGTTTGGGAAGAGGAAGAATTTCTAACTGGTCTGATCAATATGAAAGACTTAGTTTCTGAACAAATTTCTTTTTATTTTAATTAAGATAAGAGTGCATCTTGTTGAAGTCAACTTTCATTTGAGTGGAAATTTTATACCATGACTTGCCCAAATTCACGAATTAAGAAGAAAGGCACCCCTAAGCCTAAATGAATGAATGAATGAATGAATGAATGAATGAACAGATAAATAAACAAATAAATCTAAAGTTTTACTCCATAGCAAATAATGATGTATAGCTTTAATGTAAACTCTAAGTTGCTTGAGAATGTTCTGAGTCTAGAAAATATCTTAGTCAAACCCTTCATTTTAAAGATAAGGAAAGAGAGGTCTAAAAACTGAAAAGACAGACTTGGCCAAGGAGGGGAAAGTATTAAGTAGCAGAGCAAAGATTCAAATGCAGTTACTTTGATTAAAATCCAGTAATGTTTCCATTATACCACAAAGGTTCATTACAAACTATAATGGAATTGATGTGTTTCAGGGCTATGTATGTATAAACATACATATGTATGTGCATATGTATATGTATATATGTATGTATGTATAGATATAGACAGTTGTATATATTTTCATAAAATGATATAAAATGTATATATGTAAGTATACACTTGTGGATATATATATATATACATAATATGTGTATTGAACATATGTGTAGATCTGTATGTACATATAAGTATGTGTGTGTGTACGTATGTATGTATACAGGTTCTTATCAGAGCATTGCCATAGTAGGGTTATTATTTATTAAAAAATTATTTGCAAGGATTATTTATTTCTCACAAATCTGAAGCCCAACACAGTGAAATGAACTGAACAAAAGTATAAATTGTCTATAAAGGTTTCTTTTCTGCATCTCTGCAGTGCATGGTCTATTGTGCACTTTAAGAATCTCTTTTAATTTGCAGCTATTACATTTTTTAAAATGTACAATGTATATTTAACCTTTTACCTCCTGAATGTCCTTTATATAAGTATAATTGTAGCACCTTATCACAGCCTCACAAGTATCTGAACAAAACTCTTCAATGAAATTGCTCTGAGTTGCCCTGAAGTCATCCATCATTTCTGAATTCTTGATTCATCAACTGTCCCACTGAGCTGGGAAAATGTTAAACACTGGCTGTAAGAGAAAGCTCACAAGCTGTAATGTGGATCACAGATACTTTTCCTTTATGTTGTTTTACTTTTGTTGTTGTTGTTGTTATCGTGGTCTCTGTTTTCTTTCACGGAATGAATTACATGGAGGTGTGTTTTGCATAACTGTATATGCATGGCATGTGTTGGGGTACTTGCCTTCTCAGTGGGGGTTGTGGGAGAGTTTGGAGCTCAAAATTTTAAAAAAAGATTAAAATTGTTTTTGCATGTGATTGGGAAAAATAGCATTAAATAAGATTTAAAAAAATAAAGAGACAAACCTCACAAGCTTTCCCTGGTATATAAGCATGCCATCACTTGCAAATAGTTATAACTTTCCAACCCTGCCAAAATATGAAATGCTTGCTATGTGAGAATGATACGTATAGCATGTGTTTATGGTTACGAAATTTAAATTCTAAAGAGCTTCCTTTTTCAACCTAATAGACATTTTGATCTGGAGGATCTTCATAGCTGTTTTCCTCTAAATACATGAAGAGTTATCTTTCTGCTCTCTGCCTAGAGGGCCTTATCCATCTAACTCCCAGTAAAATTTAAGTTCCTGGAATTCAAGGTCCATTTTGTTTAGGTAAATCTTCCAAGATTTAGCACAGTGTATCTTGTTGCTAGTATATATGTATGTGTATATGCATGTATATGTATATATGTATCAATATATTATATATGTATGTATATATGTGGGTATACATGTATTTATGTGAGTGTACAATATATTGTGCATGTACACATATATTCATTTGTGCATGTATAGCTCTGTGTATATATACATATGTGTATGTATGTGTGTATATGTCTACTTGTGTATATATGCACATGTGTGTGTATTTATGTGTGCATACACATACACACATATACATATATGTGTATATGTCAGCAGTGCAGGGTTGAATTATTTTGCTAGCAAATGTGCCTTTTAGCATAGTAAATTTTAACTAACATAACACAATGCTTTTCTACTTGTGGTCACATCTAGGTAGTCTAACAGAGGGAAACTGGGAGTCCAACTGTTGAGGATAGGTGAGAAATTCATAGTCCTATTCTCCACAATATACAATATAGGGCACTCAAAATGGAATACACAAAACATTTTTTTTCAATTTTTTGAGATGTTATATGTGTCTGTCAGTCTCAGATACTCATTCAGAAAACATTCATATTTAGCAAAATTTTTACTTTTCCATAATATTGCCCAAGTCAATTACATGTTATATAAGCTTTGTGATGCTGTTGATGAAAAACAACAACAACATGGTTACTAATCTTTAACAGCAAAGCTATACATGAACTGATCAACTCCCTTAGCAGCAGGGTCCTTCTATAAATTGCTAGCTAGGCCTGAATTTAGTTGACTTTTGACCTAACGCTACTTATTTGACAAAATCTAGGTAACGAAATTTCCCCAAATGGCAATACCACCTGAATCCCAATCCCAAGTAAGAATGCATACACACACATTCATTTATTTATCTTTTATTCATTCACCGATTTATTTCATTCCTTCCTTCCTCTCTCCCTTTTTCTACCTTCTTTCCTTTCTTCCTTTCTTTTTCTTTCTTTCTTGATTAACTAGTTACCTTTAGGCAAATATTGCTTAGTTTAAAAATACTTAAGAAGTTGACTAGACTGACAAAATCTTTACTTAGAAAACTTCCAAGAAGTTATTAAACAAAACACTTCAAGATTTTCACACACACACACACACACACACACACACACAACATATACATACACATATACACACGTGTGTAATTTTTTGGTATACACAACAATCCTGCAAGGTAAGTATGATTAACCCCATTTTATGGATAAACTAAGGCTCCAAGTTTCAAGGGTGAGATTTGACCTCAGGTTTTCTTGCTCCCAAATCTAGTGCTATTTCTACTATAATATTCTTATCCTCAAATTTCAGTGCTTAGATGATAGTGTAAAGTGAAAACCTAACTATCCTTTCCTTTATAACTTACTTCTCTTTGAGAAGTAAATTGAAACAGCAAGACATTGTTGCTTCCTTAAATAGTGATATCTTCAGAATCTGAAAAGACAGTAATAATGAACATTTAAGGCATTTAAAAAAAATCATTTTTTGTTGTTTTAATTGGATTCCATCAAAATAAAGAAAATGTACCAACCATTTTATATAATAATTTTAATTATTATTGTCATTTATGTAGTGCTTTAAGGTTTACAAAGAACTTTGAAAATTTTATCTCATTTTATCTTTAGAACAACCCTGTAAGTCCTATTTTTATCTTTGTTTTGTCATTGTTGTTCAATCATTTCATTTCTGTCTGACTCTTTCTGACCCCATTTGGGGTTTTCTTGGCAAAATACTGGAGCTGTTTTCTATTTCCTTCTCCAGCTTGTTTTACGGATGGGAAAATTAGAAAAAAAGGTTTAAGTGACTTAACCAGGGTCACACAGCTAGTAAGTGTCCAAGGCCAGATCTGAACTTTAATTCTAGGTTTTGTGTGCTATCTACTGTACCAACCAGTCATTACACATCCCTTAGAATGATCAAGCTATCACTTCAATTTCCTGTTCAAAAATCTGTTTTCATATATCTCTAGTGGCAAATCTTCCCAGTCTTAAATCAAATGAACATTACTTCCTCATCATTACTCTAGCACTTTTCCTATTTAATTTTATATGTGTCATATGATATGGACTTTTTTCATGAAATATTGGACAGTTCTCCAGGCACTGGTTGCACTTAGAGTAGTCCCCTCCCATTTAAATTTGCTAGGGTTTTCACTAAATACTCGTTATACAAC